AGGATTAGACATACGCAGTAGCAGTAGCCTATGTTATGTATTATTTTTTATTACCGTTGTAATATTTTGATATTACGCACTTTCCGAATAACTTATGTACTAAATTATGTTTCCCCATGTCTGAACATCTAATCTAATCGTTATGTCCGTATTGTTATGTTTGTTTCATTTTTTTTTTAAATCATAAAAAATTTGTTCGTTGATAAGGTATATGTATTGATGTAGTTTTAAACAAAAAAGACAAAAAAATAGGAAGTTTCATATATGCATATCCGAAATATTTATACAAATGGTTTTGGATATGCATATCTGAAACAACCTCTAAAGTTTTACATCCAACGTTTAAGTATTAAAACGTGTTAAAAAAGGCTGTCTTCGAATATGCACATCTGAAACATGCTGAAGGTGCGTTCAAATGTGCATATTTAAAGGGTATTTTCAGGTTTTCAGTGGTGAAAATCACCACTACTAGGTGTAAAGAGAAATTCTCTTAAATCATTGGGATTGAATTGATACATGTGAATTTCTTAACACACCTTCTAATTTAAATTTCCGAAAATGACCCTCGATTTTTGAAAATATATTTTTGGGACGCACCCCACACATACAATTCTTTCGTTTTTGAGATACATCCTATTTTACGACTAAATTTATTTCAGAAACACATTTCCAAAAGTTTCAGGAAATCCGTTTTCGCTTCCTAGTGAATTTTTATTCAACTAGTTAGGTTAACAGTAAATTAATTCATGTTCATACACCTTATTGAACTATATATTGTAACTTTGATAAGGTGTGGTGATGTTATTTTCCGTGCTTGATTCAACAATATCTTCTTCACAATTAATTTTAATATTTTAATCTTGGTTAGGCATCGCCATGCTGGTCAAACATTTATGTATTTGGAGGACTTGATGATGATGATGTTATATTTCACTCCCTTTTATGTTCTTGACACAATTAATTTACTAGGAACCAAAAATACATTTTTGAAAATTTCTGGAAATGCATTTATGGAATAAATTTAGTCGTAAAATAGAGCGTATTTTAAAAACGAAAGAATTATATATGTGTGGAGTGCGTCTCAAAAATACATTTTCGAAAATCAAATGATATTTTTGAATTTTCATAGAGTTCTTTTCAACCACATAGGATGGGTTAAGAAATCCCCTTATTACATATGTATGATTAATAGTTCAAATCATTGATAAATGAATATATTAATGTGAAACTATTAGGCAGCCCATTGATATATTCATTTATCTTCTAAAAAGGAATATAAGGTTGTTCATTATATTTTGTTTTTTTCAAACTCTGAATTAAAAAAATTATCTCTAAAATTGTCTTTTTTATTCATCTAAATAGTAATATTTGAGTGCATCTTATATATTTGATTGGATAATATTTATAACTTTGTAGGTTCCTCAAAGAGGTCGTCGACCCATCACATTCTGACTCAAGAATGATATAGGAAGAGATTAGACGTGAAAGGGTAACATCACATGACGAGCACGTGATGTCATCTAGTTCGACCCAATACACTCTAATCCCGAGTCATATAAGGGCACAAAAAGCCACACATCAGGATAAATGTAATGCCCACGTGTTTAGGAAGGTAATCGATTTTTCTGTTAAGGGAAAAGATTTATTCCTTCTATCCCCATGTATAAACGTGCAGTTAGGTCTTGGAACCAGTTTCTTAGCAACAATTAGGCTAAAAGGACAAGTTTATAAATATCGCAACCACATGGTTGAAAAAGATCAATCACTTTTCACAAATCATAACCTAAAAAGGTCCTATTGCGCATCTCATCTCAGGTAGGATATTATCTATTGTACTTACCGCGAGTATAGTTGGCGTCCACCGTGGCATCTGGTAAAACAGACACGAATCATACTTTCATCTAAAAGTTCAGTTGCTATAATCATCCTTCCACGATGGTGATACAAGCTAATGCCAATAACAGTAGCAACGATGAAGAACCCATACAAGAGATGCAGGCCGATATAAAAGAATTGTGTCGCACCAACGAAGCTCTATAGACCAACATTATGCACTTTTAGCAACAACAATATGACGATGACCCATTAGAGGGTAACAAAATCTTAGATCCCCAACCACTATTCAATGGAATCTGGGACACTCCAATACCAGAAAAATTTAAGCTTTTGTCTGTGATAGCTTTCAACAAAAAGAGTGATTCACAAAAGCACATTTTTGTCGGCAACACTCACTTGGAAATAATAAACGCCACTGAATTCTTGAAATGCAAGATCTATCTTGTATGTACAAGGAGGCAACACAAGGTAGTACATGAACATCCTTTGGGTGTGTTTGATTTGTTAAAAAAATAAATAAAGTATTGGACATGATAACTTTTTTTGTATCCTGTTTGATGCAAAAACTAATCATGATATTGAACAAAGCATACGATAGAAGAACCGGACAAAACCATGAATTTTTGTCTCATTATATCATGAGATAAGTCTTTCTCCCAAACCCAAATTATAAAAAAAAAATTCAAAATACCATTTCTTACCCTATCTTTCTCATTATTTAATATTTTAATTCATAAATATAATATTAATATTTTATATATAAATAAAGAATATTATAATAAAATTATAATATATTTATTCGGTTCATAGACATATCAAATAAAGTGGAGAAAAAAATTTATATTTATCATTTTTCTTCTCTTCTCATTATTTAATATTTTGATTCATAAATATTAATATTTTATATACTAATAAAAAATATAATAAAAATTGTATTATTCAGTCTGTCTATGATACACACATTAAACAAAATAGAGTAAAATAATTGATCTCTTCATCTTTTTTCCTCCTTATTATTTAATATTTTAATTCATAAATGTTGATATTTTATATATCTATAAATAATATTATAGTAAAAATTATATTATTTTGTCTTGTGCATAGATATGTCAAGTAAAATCGAGAAAAAAAAGTATCCTCAAGTAAAATCGAGAAAAAAAAGTATCCAATGCATTAACTATCAAACACAATATAATATAAAAAATTATTTTGTATTGTCCAATACTATTATGTTCAGTACTTCTTATTATGCAAATTAAACGCACCCTTAGAGTGTTAGTGACTAGCTACCAAGACCCTTTGAGAAAGCTAATTCATCATTTCTTGACGAGCAAATATCGAAAGCTCTCGACCACCAACCTATTCAATGTCCGACAAGGGCACACTGAATCCCAAAGGAAATATCTCGTCATGCTCAACGAGATAATCATGAAGGTGGTCAACCCCAATAAAGAAATTTTTGTAGAAGCATTTCAAAATGGCTTGAAAGTTGGGCACTTAAACAAATCTTTCACCCAAAAGCCCGTTATTTCCATGGCTGAGATAATGGCATGAGTGGAGTGCTACATAAAAGGAGAAAAAAGCAATATAAAGAAGAAGCCTAGAGACGCAAAAGAGTAAAATCACATTGTAGTCAGGGTCATTATTTTGATGTTCAGTCAATTATTTGACATATGTATGCATGTAATTTAATTTGGCACATTTGTATAATTTGTTGGTAATTTGTATGTAAATTTATGCTTCTTTTGTTAGACATGTACATTTAGACACCTCTCCATTTATTCCATTAGATTTGGATCCATAAAAATGTGTTTTAGACTTTTTTAGTTTGATATAAGTCAAATATTGAGTGTTACGTGAATATCAAGTTATAAATCTTAAATCAAGGTTTTTGAGAGTCTTGATTCAAATCATATAATTTGTGATTCAAATCTGAACTTGCATGGAAGTGAACTATTTATCTCTGTCAATCTAATTCAAATCAAAGACGTATGTGATTATCACAGTACCTCCATACTCGAATCACATGATTGGTGATTCGAATCATTGTCATCCAATTTTATTTAAAACTAACTGTAATTTGAATAACATGTTGCTTGACTCGAATCTCACATCCGACTTTGATTCAAATCACTAGTAACAAAATTTTCACTTCACTACCTTTGATTCATTTCATTCTTTCATTGATTCAAATCTCAACAATTCATAATTTGACTTAAATCACATTGTTCTATTCTCACTTTTTTTGTCTTATCTCAAGCACCTATTTAAACCTTTTATTTTTTAATCTTTTAAGGGATTTGTTCGATTTTATTTTTGATGATGTCAAAAATATGACAATTCTTCTTATGACTCAATTTTGATTATCACAAGAGAAAATCTTTGATAAGTTGTTGAATCTTTCTGTTTTGTGTACCTGGAAAACTCATTAAGAACCCAATCTTTATTTGTCAAAAATCTTGAGAGAAATCATGTAAAGATTTATTCATTCATAAATACATTATCTCCATGATTCAACCTTGTGAAAAACTTTCTATAATATCGAAGGTGTGAGAAGTTTGTAGTTGTGTTGCAAGACCTTTTAGATACTATTCATCATCTTCAACCTTATACAAAGAAACAATTGTTATGGTTCTTAACTCTAAAGAATGAGTATGAGAAGTAAATTAAGGTACATTATGGAATTTAATATTTTTGGTGTGATGTTTGGCTATTTGTATCATAATAAATGGTCGCTTCTTATTCACGTTGTTGGTTGGTTCTTATCAAGTAAGAGAAGAATTTTCTTCATATTCCAAAGAAGATTTTGGTGGATCCGAGTAAAAGTTGCCGTAGAACAAAATTGAGAGTTGTCCTCATTCATTAATAGAACAAATACTTAGACATGTCTTCATCATAAGTAAAGGAGGTTGTAGAATTAAAGCTTGAAACATGTGACTATTGCTATCAAGTTTGTTAAATCAAGATTAAAACTTACCCACCTCTATAACATCTCAATGTAAAAGTAATGTCATATTTTCATTGTAGTATATTTACAAATCTCATCTCAACCGTCTAGTGAAAGAAAGAAAAACAAATGTGAAGCCTATAAGTTCCACAATATAAACCCACTAATTTTCTCTCACAAAACAGTTACACAAGCTAGCAAGAAGAAAGAAAGCGCCATGGAAGAACAAAGAGTCGAAGGAGAAGGAAGCAGCAAGGATACGCGAACCAGCACCATTTTCAAACTGCCACCCTTACAAATCGACAACGAAGATATACTCTTCTGCATCGACATTGATCCTCAATCTATGCTCCAGATGAAAGGTCTCACCCGTTTAGACGCCATTAAACAAGCCATCCTTCTCTTCGTCAATGCCAAACTCACCATCAACCCTCAACACCGTTTCGCTTTCGCCACTCTCTCCGATTCCGCTTCGTGGGTAATTCATCACTCTCCATTCCTTTACCTAAACCCTACTTTTTATCATTCAATCTAATCTATTATTCTTTACATTTTCTTCATTCATGTTTTCTTAATATCTGCACTACCTACTAATGTATTATTCTTTAAATGCTTCTGTCTATTTCTCTTTGCTTATATACTCTTTAAGATTCAACTGCAATCGAACCATAATATATATGATCTTTTAACAAGAAAGAATTCCTTGAATTCTACTGTAAAATCACATTCAAATGGATAAAGATTGTAAACAGAGGAAGGATTTCTTTCAGGGATTTCATATTCCTCCTTTTCTATCTATCTTCCTGTCTTTGGACCGCAGATACGGTTGCACGCGTTGTGATAGCCGTTGCGGCGTGAGTTTTAATTGGAAGGTGTTTGAAATACATCATTAAAAAACACTTAGTGTTAATATTTTTCATTTCATAATAAGTAAATAGAGTTTTCTGGTTTCTGAAATTTTGAATTTTGATGAAAAAATATGAGTGAAATTGTCTCATGCTGTTTTTAATGACGGTCAAATGGATGATTTTAATTCACACCGCAATTGCGGTCCGATGCGGTTGCGGAGACTACTGCATAAGTAATATTACGGCCGCAATTGCGGTTGCGGATTGCAATTTATGACCATGCTTTGGACAACTATAGTCACTTTTTGAAGGATTTCACATTCTTCCCTTTTCTTCACTTGATTTTTCAATTGAGCAGGGTTGCATTGAAAAATCTTCCCCTTTTTTTACCTTTCTGACTGCTGTTGCATTGGTTATTGATTCCTCTTTCCTCAATTCATTTTCTTCAAAATATTCATTTTCAACTGTTAATCTAACTGGTAAACAATTATTCATTTGGTATGGTAATGGTGAATGGGATCTCCATTGTCCACAATAGCATAGGTAACCCTGTTTTACTGTTGCCCTTGGAGCAGTCATGAATTTGTTTTGTAATTCATGATTTCTCTCCTTTAACATAGAAAGGGTGCCTTTCCTTTATCGTGGGAAAATGATAAAATCTGTTTTAGGTGATTTGAACGACTGCGGAGAAGTTTTGTAGAGCCAACAGTGAGGAGGGTAGGCTACATGCAGGACAAACCAATGGTTAGAAGTTGAGGACAAAGGAAAATTGTAACTCAAACCGTTACAAGTGTTTTGGATTAAATGATCTGTACTTAGATGTGATTTATTGATTGAGCAATATGTCATTGTTGATCCATGTGGCCATTTTTATCTAATGGAAATATGTTTTGTTGTTTGTCATCTTCATATTTTGAGAACATATTCTTGTATTTTCAAATTTGATGTGCTATCTAGCATTGGACATTAGCAATAGAGAGCAATATAAATGCTTCTGGTTCTGGGTTTCCCAAGTTATAGATTTGATCTTTCAAACACTATATTTGAGGGAGGGTGCTCAAAGCGTGTGCTGAACTTTTTTGTTTGTTTCATTTTAATAATTATTACAGCTGAAGAAAGAATTTAGCAGCGAAGTTGAGTCAACAATTGCAGCAATGCGAGAGCTTTCGGCTACTACATCTAGCAGTCAACCGGACCTTACTACTTTGTTCCAACTTGCTGCTCATGAAGCTAAAAAATCCAGTACACAGGGTCGCATTTTAAGAGTGGTGAGTAATGGCTGCCATCAGTGGTTTGTCAAATCTCTTCATGTATCTTGGTTTGTGTAAATCTATCATCATGTGCTAGGTTTGAAGTTTTCAAAGTTTATTTGTTACGCGACATACTCACGGATTGTAATATGTTGTTTGCTATTCCTTTCTAGATTCTATTCTACTGCAGATCGACCGGGCGCCCACAGCATCAGTGGCCTGAGAACCAGAGACTCTTCACTTTGGATATCATGTACCTTCATGACAAACCTGGCCCTGACAATTGCCCCCAAGAGGTCTATGATACACTGGTCGATACTCTTGAACATGTTACAGACTACGAGGGTTATATCTTTGAGAGTGGACACGCATCGGCAAGGATTCTTTTTCGTCATGTGTTAGTTCTATTGTCACATCCTCAGCAGCGCTGTATCCAAGAGTACATCAACATACCTAAGTTACTTGCAAAGAAGGCTCCTCTGGTGGAGCCAATGGCTACTGAAGATAATTTTCCAGTATCTACCCAGTGAGAATGGCATGGTCGCTTTATTTCTCCCATATCATTTAGGTTACTGGTTTATTGTGGTGGTATCTGATACTAGGCCCTGGTAATTTTCAGTAAACAATTTGTATCTTTAACTTATATGAGAAAATGTGTATATGTTTCAGGTGTCTAATTTTACATATACCTCATTACCTATTGTGAAATAAAAAGAGGAGTTCCTCTTATCTTAAAATGCTATACTTTTTTTATTTCATGAAAGGGTGAAACTGCTAATATTTACTATTTGTTAAATAGATACTTCTATCAATGAATGCACCAAAGGATTTCCCTTTTATTTTAAAAGATAGTATAAAATTTAGCATCTTATATACAAGTGACTCCATTGAGGCCACGTAAAAAGAAGGGACCAAATTCCATGGAAGAAGTCTAATTCAAGTTGAAAAGACTGAGTGCAGCCTGAATACAGCACCCTGAAAGAAAGAAAGAAAAATGAGCAATGTCATCATCTCACAATTCAAAGTATAATTGATAAAGCAAGGCATGAGGAATTTATTTACACTTGAAAATAAATAATTTATTAGTTGAGATCGGTAGATATGTGAATTAGGATTAGATGGTGTTTTCTCAAGCAATAAGAGATTATTTAAGTGGAAATATCATCGGAGATCACACATGATTTATCAACAAAATCTCAGCCAAATAAATTTTTTACTATTTTTCTTCTTCATTCGATACAACTGTTGCTCTTTAAATTTCTTCTTCGATGTTTAGTCTAACAAGTTAACTTTTCCGATGCCATATTCTAAAGTTTGAACATGAATTAGGGGTTTTGATGGATGTGAAACATGGGGTTTCTATTATGTTATGTTGTTTATGTTAAATATTTAGGGGGTTATGCAGTGTCATGTTTTAAAGTTTGGGTTTTTGCAGTGATGGAGGGTGAAGATGAAGAGGGTTTGAAATTGATGAAGTGTGGTTTGATTATGTGTTTAACATCTCAACATATTTAGTTGGGATTGTATTTTTATTTTGTAAAATTTCACTGCTTCACTTCACATCCTAATTTTGATTTTGATTTTATAAATAAATTTAGTAAAATACATAATTTAGTAATTAATTCAGTCCTAAAGCAATTAACAACTAAAATTTTCACTGAGTTCCAAATTTATGTTGATATATTCATCCTTAATATTCACAAAAGCCCAAAATATCTAAGAACACATGTGGCCACTTTTAGTTATATAAAACATATGGTTAGAAATACGACTTAATGCATGCTTTAATCCTTTAATTTAATTTAAAGTTTCATTTTCATCTCTTATTTAATAAACATTCGTTTTAAGTCCCTTAAATCAAGTTTCGTTAGTTACATTGGTCATTTCCGTTAAATTTTATTAAAATCCGTTAAGTTTGGAAGACATGGCAGTCTAGCTGACATTAGTTTAGCTACCTGGAATTATTTTCAATTGTTTTTATAATATATCAAGAAACTTTCTTCTCTCTTCCAACGAAAACTCTAGCTGCCACACACATCTCTCTTCTCCTTTCTCTATTTTTCTTTTCTCCTTTCTCTCAATGAAAATCTTTGATTTTCAATTATCACTTTGTGAAAACCTCTGACTTTCACCATTACTGCACTCCCCAACTTTTCACACGAACATATCTCCCTCAATGGTTAAGGGATATGTCGTCTTCTAATTTGGACGAATCAAACTCATTAGGGTTCTAAATCCGGTTGTTTAACTCCTTTAACTCGTTTAACCCTTAGTCATATGTTACTAATGCCAAGGAGCTCTAACACTTTGTATGCAACGACATGATTGATTGCTTGATATTTGTTCTCATTCACTGTTGTTTAACTTTTAAATATTCAGAGAATGGAGAGGGACTTCAGGTTCTTCACTATGGAGTTGGGGAGAAAAATGAACCTCATTATGATTACTTCCTTGATGAGTTCAACCTAAGAATGGAGTGTGTTTTCCATATATTGGTTTTGCAGTGTGCTTTGTGATGAATTTATGTACAAGCTTGACAGCTCTCAATTTTTGTTCCTTATGCAGGTCTGACGTTGAAGAAGGTGTTGAGACCGTATTTCCTGCCACTAAGGTCAACTTTAGCTCTGTGCCATGGTGGAATGATTTATATGAATGTGCTAGATAGGATATATCAGTGAAACCAAAAATGGGTGATGCTCTGTTGTTTTGGAGCATGAGGCCAGATGCCACACTAGATGCATCTAGTTTACACGGTTAGGTAATTCATATTACATTCGAACTCATATTACATTCCACTGGATTTTATGATTGGTGAAGTTAATTAATTAATCTTTGCTTTCAGGCGGTTGCCCGATAATTAAAGGAAATAAATTGTCTTCAACTAAGTGGATGCATCTTGAGGAGTACAAAGTTTAAGGCTTTGCTTGTGCAGGTACTTTTAGTGACTAAGACGAGTTGATTGTTCTACCAAAATAGGGGTCAGAATTATCCACAGGTTTAAAGTTTGTTATGTTGTTTATTAACATGTTGACAAGCATACAAGTTTAACATTTCATTGAGGAGGTGAGGATACAAATAAGTGAAGATGCTTCGACAAATAACCGATTAAAATGGGCACAATACGAGAGCAAAATTCTGTCATCACTGAGTCAGACATTGAAGAGACCTTCAAGAGGCTTGGTTATGGTTGGATTTGTTTATGCAAATGTGGATCTTGATGATGATAATTGTTAGAAGCAATATTATATAAATTTGTGTTAGTTGATTGTTGATTTTTCAGATTTATGAGTTTTGTTATTTTATTTTTTTGAACAATGGATTTTGTTGATGTGTGAGTGATTACTCTGTTTTGGAAATATTTGTTGATTAATGTGGTATCAATGTGGTGTTATATTTTTTCACATGTTATTAATAATTTGCGGGGGGTTTTAACCTCCTAAAACAAAATCTCTTCAGTTTAAATAAAATACTAATTTTTAAATACATATGTTAACTCACTTTATTAAAAAATGTCTTTTTCGTACCACGTTAATATTTTTTGTTTAAATTTAACAGCAAGGACCATTTTGACTAACAGAACTATTTTTAAGGGACTAATATGTAACCTTATTATATAAGGGACTAAAGTGAAATATGAAATTAAGTTAAAGGACTTCAGAACTAATTAAACCTAGAAATAATTACAAGATATAAATATAAAAGGCTAATACTCCAAATCATCTTAATTTATGAGAATTTAACATCAAACCCCTCATTTTAAACACGGTACCGTTCATATTTGTTTATTCCCAAAATACTCTTGTTATTTTTACCTCTAAAATTTTTATATTTGTCAAAATATTTTTAATATTGGTCAGTATTTTTTATACGGTGGGACTTCGGGTTTTTATACGGTGAACAATATTTTTTTAAAAATAATTTTAAAAAAATATATTTATAAACAGTGTCGTGAAGAATACATAAACATTGACCATGAACAATGTTCGTAAACAGTGCATGAACATTGACTTTTAGTAGTAAACTAAAGTTGATTAATAAAATATAAAATATTGGTTAATAAAGTGATGACGTTGGTTAATAAACGCTGAGATATCAAACCGAGCGATTCTTGTTCATCTTCTTCTTTCTTCTCTTTGTATCCTCATTTGTTGGAGTTTTGTATGTTAGTATACTTTGTTTTATATGTATAATTATTGCTCATGGTATTGTATAAAACTTCTTTTACAAATTAATGTCGATGTTTATCCTTGTGAGCTTGCTTAATGTTTGGGTTTGAGTTGCTATAGACATGTATGGTTTAGATCCAAGCTTATGATGAATATCTATTAGGTTTTAAACTCTAGTGATATATTTAGGCTTAATGCTCACTTTTGGTATCAACTCTTAATGCCTCCGTGTTGGTTGAGTTGCGCGAGACATCGCTGACAAAGATCAAAGCGGCTGATATCTCACTTTGTTTTAGAGATAACCTCTGTGTGGGAGATATGTGATAATATTGGCGAGTAGTTTAGGTTAAGTGCACTTGAGTAGTACATTTAAGTATTTGACGGGTATATGAAATTCAATCCCGAGAGTTATCTCCTCTCCAAAGAATATATTTATTTTCTGTTAATAACTTTACTTTCCGTACCTCATACCTTATAACCCATTTTAACCCAAGCTCGGAATTATGGAGACTGTTGAATGACATTCCTTCCCTTGCACTGACCCCTATGGATACGATAAAACTCGAAATACTTCCAATCTTTTGCTTGTCGCTTTATCGCGTCAATAAATTGGCACCGTTGTTAGGGATTGTTGTTTTAATATTGAATTGCATCACAATAGTTTTTATGGTTTTGAGTTTTGCACATAATATCCATATTGTCTATAATGTGTGAATAGAAACTTGTTTATATTGAAACTTTTATATGTTTACCATATTTGTGAATTTTACATGTTTTGTATACTTGTAAATTGTGCATATGTTTGGTTCCCTTCATGTTTAATGTGTTTGGTTAGGCATAGTCGTCAGTGAAAACTAATTATACAAGGAAGCAACTTGGAGGAGTGAGTATACATAAAGGCGTCGAGCTAACGACGTAAAACAAACACTTGTTAGGAGGCACCCCAACGGTTGTAAATTCTGAAATTTTGATAGTTGATGTATTATGGCAGAGTGGATGTTTAGCAAGGGAAAATCATATGCAATTCTGATTTTTCTGCACAAAACTGCTCGCATTGAGTATGGTCTGTGCGCGCTAAGTATGCGTTTTCTGGTGTAGCACGCTAAGCGTAGTCTGTAGGGCTATGCGCGCCTTACTACATACCAGTGGAATTTCTGTTTCACTTGGTCCCTTTTTGCCCACTTTCGCCTAGACTATTTAGAGAGCATATAATAGTAGTATTTACTAATTCTTTATTGGTTGTTTGAACTCAAATTTTGGTCCATTAGCTTGAAGAATTTTGAGGTAATTTTTCAAGTTTGATCGTTTCAACTTGCGAATGTATGATAATGATATTGTTTTGAAGTCGTTTCATTCAAGGTACT